AAAAAAAAAATATATATATATATATATATATATGTTTATTTATATTTTTGTCTGGTTTTGTTGAGGCCCAGGCTGGTCTCAAACTTGCAATCCTCCTGCCTCAGCCTCCAGAGTGCTGAGACTAGAGAGACATGCTACCACAACCAGCTTAAATACTTTATATTTTGATCTGCTGAAAATATTTCAGTTTTATGGATGGCTCACAGACGTATTGATTTGCCTCCTGGAACTTTGTCAACTCAGTAATTAGTAGCATTTTGGCAGTCATATGATCATGTCATCAATAAATAGTTTTAGTTTATCTTTTGTGATTTTTATGCTTTACTGCACTAAGTAGGACCTCAAATACAAATCTGAATAGAAGTGGAGTTCTTGTGAAAATCTTAGGAGGAAAGTGACCAATATCTCACTAAAGCTAACGTTACCTGTAGCTACTTCATAAATTCCTTTTATTAGGTCAAGGAAGTTCCCTTCTCGTTTGCCGAAGCTATCATTATAAACTGTGTAAAATGTTCTTACTTATAAGGTATTTTCTCCTTAATTCTGTTATGATGGTAAAAAATACTAGATGATTCTTAAATATATAAGCTTTATATTCTAGGGAAAACTCTACTTGGCCGTTACGTAACGTATATTTGAAAATCAACTGTATAAAAAATTCTTTTTCATGTATTACTGGGTCCAAATTGCTAATATTTTGTTAAGGACTTTGGTGACTGCTTTTATGTGTAATTAGTTTGGAGCTTTCTGTTACTGAAATATTTTTATCTGATGTAAGGGTAAAACTAGTCTCATAAAGTGAGTTGGAAGGGGTTCCCTTCTCTATTTCTTAAAATGTTATGTAAAGTTGGTATAATTTCTTCCTTCGTTTGACAGAATTCATCAGTAAAGTCTCTGGGTCTGGAATTTTCCTTATAGGAAGGGTTTTAATTATGAACTCAATCTCTTTTTTTTTTTTTGGTACCGGGGATCGAACTCGGGACTTCTCGCTTGCAAGGCAGGCGGCGGAACCACTGAGCTAAATCCCCAGCTGAACTCAATTTCTTTAATAGATGAGGGAATATTCAAATTTCCTATTTCTTTTCATGTCTGTTTTAGTAATTTATGTCTTTCAAAGAAAGTCTCCATCTCACCTAAGCTGTCAAAATTACGGGGTACATAGCTGTCAGTAACAAAGGCAGAGGGGACAAAGGCCTGGGCCTCTCCATGGCTGAGGCCAAATTCCGTACCATCTACTGACCTTGTTATTAAGTAGTACTTGATTAGTATTCAGAAGTAAGGAATCATGTTTCTTTCTTTTTTTTTTCTTTGGTATAGGGAATCAAACTCAGGACCTTGTCCTTGCCAGGCAGGTGTGGCACCGATGGAATCGTGTTATCTAAAGCTCAGCAAAAATAAAATTAAAGATATATATACATAGTGAGAGAGAAAAACAGACGTGAATCAAATACGAAATGAATACAGGATGAAGGTCATATAAAATTCACTACTATTTTAACAGCTGTTCTCCAGATTTGAAATTTATCAAAATATAAAGTTAAGTATTCATATTTTACAAACAAGCAATTTAAATATTTGGAAAAATTACATAGGTATTTTGCAAATTAGAAAGTTTATCACATGTCAAAGCTACCCTAAACATTCCACAAATAGCATCTGATAAATATACTGCAATATATCAAACTGCTAACAACAAAAATCATACTTTTTTCAAGAATATTCATGTAAAAAATGCTCAATGTAGACTACTAAGAGGAAAAGTTTCAACACTGAATACATGGCTTCTTTTTATATGAAAAGGAGAAAGACCCTAAGAAACTGCAAACAGTGGCTGCTTTTGAGTGGTGGTGTCACAGGTGAAGCTGACTGCCAAAATCCTTACACCTCTTCCAAATTTCTTGAAGGATCCCAGACATTCTCTACTATACCAGGGGCAACAGGAAGGAGAACTTACATGGATTTACAGCCTTAGCAGGCCAGGCAGTGTGGGCCTGTATTAACAAGGAGGAGGACTTTGCAGGCAGTGGTGATAATTTAGCCTAGCAAGTGGAAACCACAGTAGAAACGAGAGAAGCATGAACTGTAAGATCTGTTCTGATGCTTTCTGAAATACACAAAGCGTCAGAGGATCAAGTAAGATGATGTGTGTGAGAAAGGTAAAGTTACATATGAATGGAAAAGCATCAAGTATATTGATGAACTTGGAAGCTATTATTACAGGAAATCCCATAGAACAATGAGACCTAGAGTCTGAAGATTTGAATGGAATTTGAATCTTAAAAAGCTAAAAATAAAAGCCAGGCATGATGACCTAAGCCTGTAATCCAAGCACTCTGGAGGCTATGATCACCAGAGGCAGGAGGATCACTGTGAGTTCGAGACCAGCCTGTGCTACATAAGTGAGTTCAAGGACAGGCTGAACTACATAGTGAGACTGTCTCCAAAAACCAAAAAACATTCCTGCCAGAATATGATAAAGGGACCAAAATGGGGGAGAGGCGGGGAATACCTACTGGTTCTCCTCATACACATTTAAGAGAAAGGAAGACTGGCCCAGGCCAGAAAACACGGTGTTTCTCTGGGCCTCTGGATGGGGCTCCTATATCATCTCCAAGCACAATGCTGCCCTAGGCTGGAAACTGAGGAATGAACAGATTTCTTCTTAAAATGCCTAAATGAGCCAGTTGGCCAGTACATGAGTAGAATGATTGTTGAGTAGTAGTCACAGGTCAGAGATTAGATAAAATACCTTGCCTAATCTTCAGCTGAAGATGTGGCAAGAAGATATAAAGGAGAGGGCTGGAGATTTAGCTCAGTGGCACCAGGCCTGCCTTGAAAGCCCAAGGTCCTGAGTTCGAAAAAAACACAACGGACTATAAAGGAGACAAATATTTTGTTATTAAGGAGAGGAGAGAGGATAGGCCAGGGACAAATCCTTTGAGGGTTCAGGTTAGCTTACAGCAAGGAGTTCAAACTCAGATATGGAGGCTTCTGTTTTACAAAAGTGATCCTTTCATCAAGGTGTGAAACTGAGCCATTTATCTCAATCACTGGTATACCTTCTGTATCAGGAATAATGAAACCCAAAAACCAGGTCATATAGGGACGTTGAGAGGAAGGGTGAGGATTGGTCATTGTATTCTCTCACTTAAACTGTATAATAATACAAACACAAAGTCCAGAGTTTTAATTCAGGCCATTTATTGTAAACAGGATAACCCTAGGACTCCAGCATACTGGCTGTGTCACATGCTCTCTCTTTCACATCAACTAGTCAAAAAGGAGACTTTTTAAAAAAGTCCCTGGTAACTAATAACTTAGTGTTTCACAAATCTCATTTGGTAAGCATTGTGTAGATAGCAGTATCTAGGGTAGTCTCTTATTGCTCATGGACTGCAGCTGGGACCCATTTTCATGAATCCGTTAGTATGCCTGAGTGACCCAACAGCAGCTCTAGATCCAATCTGGAAACTAGAAAATACTGGAGCACACTGAACAAGTGCAGGTTCATGGAAGACCACGTAAGATTGCTTTCATAACTCTTCAGGTGCCTTTCCTCATAAAAATGACACTTTAAAATTCTGCTCACTTTTAAAAAAGAGCTAAAAATTATTCAACAGCACATAACTTCCCACAGAAAAGGTAGGTGGATTTGTATTTACTTTTACAGTGACGGATTTAAACACTCAGGACTAATTTTAGATTCATCTTGTATATATTTGCAGTTTGATGAAAAGCTGCATAAAATGCATAAAACCAGAAAGAAGTGGTGCTTTCACACACCTTCTGATGGACAACTACAGGCTTCACACGAGGAGGCTCTGGAAGGCAGGGATAAAAAGACAGTTACAGCACCACATTGACCTGACAGAACTGGAGCCCCACTTTTGAAAGCAGTCTCCTTAGTTTTGACTATATCATTCTTGCCCCAAAGTGAGATTATTTGGAAAACTGGAAATGTAAAAACTTTAGATGTGAAAAGACATGACTCTGCAGAAAGAATTCCTGGCAAATCAATCCTATGGGGAGATAAAATGCCATTCTTTGCCTGAGTTCGTGGACAATGGGACCACTCACTGTTGCTAGTGCCTATATGTGGAAATATATTCACAATTTCTCTTGAAACAAAATTTAATAATAGTAATAATATTAAAACTTAAACAAGTTTTAATAATATTTTAAAATAGCTGTTAAATCTACAATAACAATTTCACCTAAAATAGTATCTCATGAAAAAAATATTTTTAAAAAGTCCACTCCAGTCATCATCTGTGTGTTTCTATGTTCATATGTTCAAAAAATAACACTTAAGGCAAGATTAGACTGGTAGCAACAAGGGATTTTAGAGTTTTATGGAGACTGGCTATTTGAAAACACAAGCTTTATTTTTTATATCTCCAAAAAGGTGGCTTTGTATTTGTTGCATTTTAAATTCATGAAGGGATAAAATATTTTGGTTCACACACTAATTGCAATTTCACCACAGTTAAAAGTTATGGGTAATTACAGTAGCTGATGTTGGAAAAGCATGTCATACACTCAGTAGGATCTGAAGTTGACATAATTTGTCCTTGTTAAGTACATACAGCAACATGTTGATGAGAAAAAGTAAAAGTGATAGAACATTGCAAACCAACTACGAACACTAAGAATGTCAATACAGTTCAATCAGAAAGAAACCACAGTAATCCTGAGAAATTCAGTTTGGGACAAAATTGTTGTAAGGTAAATCTGTATTTCTAGCACTGTAAATAAGTAGATTATTCTAGGGTTTTCCAGCATTTTACTAGTTGGAATAAAAAACATGTTCATATTTTATAAAAAGATTAAAACCATGCCTTTTATAACAGTAATTTCACTAATAAAAGAAAATGACATTGCTTTGTGCATTACCTGCCAAATGTAATGTTTTCCACTGATTTATATGAACCATGAAGTAGAAAGCAAATTTGAGGATCAAGGTTTTAAAAGGCAATTAATACCTTTCTAAATATTTTTAAGCCTTCTCTGCCAACCTAGGATGCTTTTTTGAAAAAAGGTAACTTTTCTTCTTCAGACAAATGACTATTTTACAGAATGGGGAAGATCTAAGAATATCATTCATCATTTTAAGCAGTTATATATGGGAAATTTCTCTTAAAAATGAAAAGAAAAATTTTAAAATATTTTAAGAGGCATGTATTTAAAAAATATTCTACATCTATAAGATTTTACAATTACTTTGGATTTTTAATATTTCTACATAGTAACATTTGATAACTTCTTTTTTTTCTGTTTGTCTATTCATGAACCCCAAACTACTCCAGTGGCCACAATTATTTCCCTAGGCTTGGAAGACTAAGGAATAGATCCATGCACACTTTCCCACCCACAGGGAATCTTCAGAGTTTTGCAGCCATGAAGTTAATATGTGGTTTCACAAGGGGAAATAGTGGCAAACCACGCTTGAATTCAGTCATGTTCTGAATCACGTCAGGCTGCAGAGAAAAAAAAGTTTCCTTTTAGTGTGTTTCATTTAAAAATTAGATTGAACAGGATATCAATGTTTTTTGGGGGGTGGGGCAGGGTGTATTAGTTTCTATCCCATATATTGTCATCTGCCAAATTTTCTTCTAGATTAGTAGGGCAAGGTGTCATGGACTGGTTTATGCAAACCTGCAGTGAGTGTCTTCAGTGGGACTCTGGGCCAGTAGGAACATGCTTGGGTGCCAGGAGCTTAGCATCAAAGCTCCAGCAGAGCAGCAGAGGCTGGTCTGCCCACCCAGCATGAGCCTGGTTATACTGCAGGTAAACACCTCTCCTTCTAGATGGTTAAAATAAAGGGGACCGTGGAAAAAGCTAAGAGGTTTCACTCAATATTTAATCCTTAGAACAGATGTGGACTGAAATAATGTACTGAAGAATGGTGTAACTGTTCAAATAAGAGGAACAGCAGACAAGGGCAGAGGCTGAATGGCCAGGCATTCAAGGAGGATGTATAGTAGAAGGTGACCTGAAACACCCTGAAGCCCTCTACGTCTTATGTGTCCTGAAGAACAAGCTACTTCTAAGTACAAAGCACAACATAATATAATGTTTCTTACTTGTGGCAAGGGTGGTGCCTGTGACAAATTTACATCATTTTGACATGGGAACTCTCCAACAACAGGACCTATAAGAAAATGAAAGGTTTAATGCTTTGCATTTAACTCATACTCGCAGGCAACAGCAACTTTCAAACATGCAAAATTCAATGCATTAAAAAATTGTACCAAGCCCAGTTTGTGCACTTCTCAAGATTTTCTCAGCTGCCTGCTCCCAAGGACTTGACTGTTTGTCCTATCTTCTATCTGGAGTGTCCTGGTGATGGTCTGATGATGTTACTAAGCTCATGAAGCCTTGGCTGCAGCTGCATCAGTGTCTAGGTCTAACCCAGACTCTGAGGCTATGGCCACCCATAACACCACAGTAAAACAACACAGAAGGACAGGAATGTTAATGGCCATAGAGCAAAGTATGGCCAGTTAGGAGGAGGAGACTAGAAGGACCAGGCAGGCAAATGTGACTACTCTTCTTCCTCACATGCAGTGGCTCCATACAACTTCGCTGGAGACATCCCTATTAGCAACCAGCTGTGCTAGAGTGGCACTGTCCTCTGGCTCTTTTTTTTTGGTACTGGGGATTGAACTCGGGCCTTGTGCTTGTGAGAGCAGACCCTGTCTCCAGTTCCCTTTGTCTGCCCTTTTCCTTTCTGGTGGTCAGTAAGGCATGTGGATATTGTAAAGGAAAGCAATCATATGGCTCAATCTGAGCCTAAAAGTAGACTTACAAATAAGGTAATAATCAGTACTTACAAGAATCCATTTCCCTGGCAAGAACATGGACGGATACCTTATGTCTCCTTGGGGCATCTACTGCCAACATTTCCTAGTGAGAAAGAACAAAGTCACCTTTCTACCCCACTAAGGAACCCTAAATGAGGCTCTCTTTGAAGACTAAATTATCAGCCATCACAGAGATACAGAAATGTTTTCCTTTCCCCTCATATTATTTTATTTCATCTTTGGGGAGGGGTGTGTGCCAGGGATCAAACCCAAGTCCTGAATGCTAGGTAAGTGCTCTATGATTGAGCTACAACCCCAGCCCTGGAAAGAACTATTCTGAACTCTACTTACAGATGAGAAAACAGTCCAAGGAGATTAGTGAACTGTTCAAACTCCTACAGTTAATATGTGCCTAAGTGGGGATTAAACACCTATCCTAGTACTCACTGGAATGTGATTTGCAGGGTCTGCACCTAGTGATCTTTAGTGTTTACAGAGATGATGGCCTGAGCTTACTTAGGGGACAACCACAGTTCTTACTCCTCTAAAAACCTGATTCTGCATGAAGGCTCTGTTGCTAAGATGTCATTCTTCATCTACCAAAAGAAAGGAGAACGAGACTTATTGAGTCCTGCCTTGTATCAGGCACTCTCCTGTTAGCTCACTTAATTCTCTGTAAGTTAAACTTCATGATGATGCCTATTTCAGCAACATGGGCTTTAAGACACAGAGAAATACTGACTTGCATGCGCCGTACAGCTCCTAAGTGATGGTTGCTCTCTCTACTCACCATGTTACTTGAAGATTCCCCTTGGTTATTTCCATGAGTGACAGTAGTGTTAGGTTGGCAGGTGGATCCTGTGGGGAAATGTCACCTGACCTTTCCCTGATGCTGGGCTTTTTACTGTCTTTTCCAAAGGGGTACAAACTACAAGAAGTACAAACTGTAACGAAGCTTCCTCTGATGCTTTAATCAGATGCAACAGTTCATATCCTCAGAGGGGAAAGACCATTAAGCAAGACTTAAGTTATTTATGGAGCAATGATTATAAGCCTGGTCCTGTACAGCTGCAAGGGAAGCCCTGCTTGGGTTGCATGGGTAAGGCTGACCATCGTGGGTGCCCCACTTCCTGCTGGCAGAACAGCCCAGACTCCCCCACAGGCCTTCTCTAACCTCTCCCACCTCCTTTAGAAGCTCAGCCTATGCCTGCCTCCAGTAACATACAATATATCATCTGACAATGTCTTTCTCATTAGATTAAAAAGTTTGCTTCCAAAGGTCTACTTATTTATATTTATTTATTTTGATTTTTTTTTTTTTTGGTACTAGGAATTAAACTCAGGACCTTGCACTTGCCAGGCAGGCACTGCATGTATTTATTTATTTTGACCAAGGTCTCACTATGTAGTTCAGGCTGGCCTTGAACTTGTAGTGATCCTTGTGCCTCAACCTCCCAAGTGCTGGGATTATATGTGTGAGCCTCCACACCCAGCTCAAAGATCTATTCTTTTTTTTTTTTTTTTGTACCAGGGATTGAACTCAGGACTTTAAGTGTGCAAGGCAGGCACAGTGCCACTGAGCTAAATCCCCAGCCCTCAAAGATCTATTCTTGATATCTTTTCACTCAACCTTCATTGTCCTCTTGTGAATCTCTATCAGTAGACAGAACACTCTTTGGTTTTAGGACTACTCTCCATTTCCTGACCAACATTGGACAATCCCAATTTAAAAAAAAACGACTCCACTTTCTTGTATTGTGATTTAAGGGTCATTAGAGGGTCAGGGATGTAGCTCAGTGGTACCATGCTTGCCTGGCAAGCTCAAGGTGCTGAGTTCGATCCCTGGGACCAGAAAAAAAAAAGATCATTAGAATCCCAGGAGATATTTGTAGGTATTCTGGGCCAAAAAGGGTCTACAATGAAGTTAGTTTAGAAAATGTTTTCTTAATCAAAATTAAACAAATACTGGGTAAATTCTTTACTGTGGTGCTTCTTAGAACTTCTAAAATGCTAACACAATCTGTAATCCTCCAAGAATGGGAATAAGGGGAGTGATCTTTCCCAAATTTTTCCCTGACAACCCTATTAATATTTTGTAGACTACTAGCTGGAACACAGCTAGGGAAATTCTCTTCTAGATTTAGGTGAAGGTTAATTATAACCATCCTCATATTCCGACCCCCCACTCATGTTTTAAGAAAGAGTATGTCTCTCTTAAGTGAAATAAATAGGACACACATGTGTAAATACCGAATAGTTTCTCTAGTGTGAGAAACCGATAGTGTAAACAAGGGTTAAAATGATTAAAATGAATAACTGATAATTTGAAATAGGAAAAAAGGTCCAAAGACAAAGGAGTGAAGGGAGGGGAAGAGGAAAGGAAAAGAGGGAAAGGAAAAACTACGAGAAAAGAAAAAAAAAATGGAAATGAAATCTATGTAAATAGGGAAGGGCAGGGGGGTGAAGGGTGCACAGGTAATGGGGAAAAAAATAAGAACCAAGATACATCATGTACAGGTACAAACATGATAAATGTAAATGAATTGTATACCTAAAATGTACCGATAAAATTAAT